TAAACACTGTAAACATAGCTAGGCTATTTTAGTTCCCCTCACTCCACAACAAATCCTTTCAATTAACAGTATTTAGAAAAGAACAAGAATTAAAAATATACGAAGCTATAGCAATATAAACGACCAGCCAAAACGAATTCATTTAGGCTAAAACGAAACTGAAACCAATGTTGGGTCTCTCATTCCACACAAAATCAAATGTTTCCGTATTCGCGTTGTATTTGAATGGCAAATTATTATTTATTGCTTGAATCTGATTGGCTGACGAACGTTCTGAGGTGTGCAATTATTTTCAGGGAAACGCACGGCGAACGTAGTTCCAGGCAGCTCTCTTGACCGCATTACAGTTCCATATCACTTCGCATAGGGTTTGCTGCATGGTTAAAATACGCTACGCGTATAAAAAAAAAAAAAAGTTTTTTGGGGGAAAAAAACTTAAGTCGCGTATAAGTCGCATTTTTTTTTTGTTGACGCAAAATGTTTACAAACATTATAATAAACACTGTAAAACGCTGCTGCAGAACACTGTTGAGGGATGCACAGAGGTAGCCTAATTCACACAAGCTCTCTCTCTCTCTCTCTCTTTCTCTTTCTCTGTGTGTCTCTGTCTCTCTCGCTCTCTTTCTAATAACTTCATTAATAAATGCATTAGAATGCCATCAACGGCTCCAGCCTCCATTACTAGCTTTAAAATGATGTGTTGGAACTAGCAAAAGAGGCGTTGGATGAGATGCGGAAGAAATAATCCTACTTACAATAGCGATCTAAGTACAAAAACCGGACGAATCCCTTTAAATATATCATCTGATCGATGTCTTGAGGTGTGCTAACCGTAGTATAAGCGGAATTATTTTTCTAATAATTCACCGGCCCGTCGTCAATTATTCCTTACTTATGTACTTCACTCGCGTTCCAATATCCACGTAAAACAAAATGTTTTGCATAACATCACGGCGGTACTGTGATAACACTTAACAGCACAGATTTTACTACTTTTTTTTTTGTTTGACTGACTATTTTATTATGATAATGAACTGGCTGCATTGTCAAGGTAGCAGTGCTTAACTGTGTGCGTGCATGCGGTGCCGGCGCAATCACTTGAATTCATTCACAATAAAAACAAATCTTTGTGCTTTTGTAAAATAAGCCTAAAGAAAAATAGGATGCCGCTTTCTGCCGTCTGTTTCCTTTCCGCGCAGCACAAAATGAACCGAAGCTCTGCATACTAGGCTACTTGTTGCACAGTTTTTCTTTCATTTTCTTAATTTATTATTTAAGTAAAAATATGTTTCTCATATAGGCCTATTTATTCGTTATATATACCGTCATGGTCAGAATTATTGGCACCCTTGGTAAATATGATCAAAGAAGGCTGTGAAAATAAATCTGCATTGTTAATCATTTTGATCTTTTATTAAAAAAATTAACATAAATCTTACCTTTCATTGGAGAATAAGAATTTAAAATGGGGTGAAATATCATTATGACAAATGTTTTTCTCTAATACACATTGGACACAATTAACGGCACCCTTTTATACAATGCTTTTTGAAACCTCTATTTGGCATAATAACAGCTCTGAGGGTTTGTTTTTGGATTATTGTCCGGTTGGAAGATCCAAACATGGCCCATTATAAGATTTCTAACAGAGTCAGTTACTTTTTGATTTTTTTATCTGTTGGTATTTAATAGAATCAAAGATGCCATGTATCTGAACAAGATGTCCAGGACCTCCAGCAGAAATTAGGGATGCTCCGATCCGCCTTTTTTGCCTCCGCTACCGATTCCGATACCTAGGGTTCAGTATTGGCCGATACCGATTCCGATCCGATACCAGTGAAGTTTTTTTCCCTCATTTAAATAAATGTAGAATTTATATATCTCTGTGTGTGGAACTGATAATCATTCTTTCACAATCTACTAG